TGAGGAGAGACCGGTTCTTGGAGAAGGACATCATGCTTGGGAGGGTGGAGGGACAGCGCAGGAGAGGAAGGCCCTCTATGAGGTAGATTGATTCAGTGACTGGGATAATTGGGATGGGAGTGTCAGAGATGGTGTGATTGACACAGGACAGAGCGGAGTTTAGGGCTGTTGTACATAGGGTCGCTATGAGTCGCAAGCGACTCGACAGCACATAACAACAACAACAACAAAAACAAGACGCAAGAGACCTTTACAAAGAAACTATAAAAACACTTCTATGAGGAAGCAATAAAAGACCTAAAGAAATGGTAAAATTTTCCCTGTTCATGGATATTGTTGCTATGTGCCATCAAGTTGCCTGCGACTCATAGCGACTCTGTGTACAATAGCCCTAAACCTTGTTCTATCCTGCGCCAATCTTACTGTCTCTGACACACCTACCCCCCTCACCCTAGTCACTGAATCAATCCATCTCATCAAGGGTCTTCTTCTCCTGTGCTGTCACTCCACCCTCCCAACATGATGTCCCTCTTCAAGGACTGGACCTTCCTTACAACATGACCAAGGTATGTCAGACAAAGGTTCAGAATCCTTGCCTCCAAGGAACAGCCTCGTTTCACCCTCTTTAGGATGAACCTGTTCGTTCTCTAAGCAGTCCATGGTATATTCAATACTCTTCTCCAACACCACAGCCCAAAGGCATCAATTCTCCTTCTATCATCCCTAGTGATTGTCTGGCTCTCTGATGGATGGCAAGTGATTGCAAAGACCATGTCCTGTATTGTATCAGGCATACCTTAGTCACCAGGCTGAAATCATGGCTCTCCAATACTTTGAAGAGGTCTCTAACAGCAGAATTTCCCAACACAATACATCTTCTAATTTCCTGGCTGCTGGTACCAAGAGTGTTGATTGTGAAGCCAAGCAAATTAAAGCTGTTTACAATCTCAATCTCTTCACCATCCATCACGACGCTGCCAAAGATACTCACCACTGGAATGACATGGGTAGGAAGATGCAATATTGTGAAAATGATAATCCTACCAAAAGCAATCTTAACAAAATTTTGCCTAACAAAATCTCAATATAGATACCAAATTATAATTGTCAAGTTTATACAAAGAAAGAGATCTCAAATAAGCAAAGTACTTCTGAAAAAGAAGTAATGGGAGGCATTAGCACTCCCTGATCTCAAAATCTATTATACATCTGTAATAACCAAAACAGCATACTATTGGTACAATGTTAGGCACAAAGACAAACGGAATAGAATCAAGAATTCATTGCGATGGGAAAGTCTGCAGTTAGGGACCTCTCTAAAGTATTCAAGAGCAACGGTGTCTCTCTGGAGACTAAGGTGCGCCTGATACAGGCCATGGTCTTTGCAATCACTTGTTATGCATCAGAGAGTTGGACAATGACTGGGGAGGATAGAAGGAGAATTGATGCCTTTGAGCTGTGGTGCTGGAGAAGAGTATTGAATGTTCCATGGACTGCCAAGAAAACAAACAGATCCATCCTAGAGAGGGTTAAACCAGGTTACTCCTTGGAGGCAAGGATTCTGGGGCTTCGTCTGACATACTTTGGACATGCTGTAAGGAGAGACAGGTCCTTGGAGAGGGACATCATGCTTGGTAGGGTAGAGGGACAGCACAGGAGGGGAAGGCCCCCTATGAGGTGGATTGATTCAGTGACTGGGGTAATCGGGATGGGTGTGTCAGAGGCAGTGCGATTGGCACAGGATAGAGCAGGGTTTAGGGCTGTTGTACATAGGGTCACTATGAGTCTCAAATGACTCGATGGCACATAACAACAACAATCTATGGTCAACTGATATTCAACAAGGAACAAAACCTATAAAATGGGGAAATGACAATCTTTTCAACAAATGGTCCTAGCAAAACTGGACTGCTACCTGAAGAAAGCTGAAGCAGGATCTAAACACAAAAGTCAACTCAAGCTGGGTCAGAGACCTAGAAGTAAAGTCCAAAACTATAAAGATCATAAAAGACAAAGTGGTACCAAACTTAGAAGGTCTAGCATATGGTATAAAGAGGCCAGAAATACAAAACCAGGAGAGGATAACATTGATGAATGGAACCTTCTAAAGATTAAATCCCCATGCATATAAAAAACTTTTTCTATCAGGGTAAAAAGAAAACTTACTGGCTGGTAAAAAGCATTTGGCAATACCGTAACAGACAAGTTTCTTATAATAAAAGTCTATGGAATACTACAGAGCCTCCCCAATAAAAGGACCGATAACATGATTACAAAATGGGCAAAAGACATGGCAAGAATTTATACAGAGGAAGATATTCAGATAACCAATAGACACAAGAAGAAATGTTCAAAATCACTGGCAATAAAAGCGATGCAAATCAAAATCACAAATGAGATACTATCTCACCCCAGTAACAGTGGTAAAGTTTAGCAATACAGCAAGCAATAAATGTTGGAAAGGATGTGGAGAGGTGAAAATTCTCATATTCTGTTGGTGCAATTGTAAAATGGTGCAACCATTCTGGAAGACAGTTTAGCATTTTCTCAAAAAGTTGAACACAGAAACTCCGTATGACCCACTATTCTACTCCAAGGGGTATACCCCAAGGAAATTAGAACTGAAATACAGAGATTTGTACACCGATGTTCATTGCTGTGCTGGTCACCATTGGCAAGAACATGGAAACAGCCCAAATGTCCAACCACAATCAAATGGATTGAGGAACTGTGGTACATTCACATGATGGAATACTATGCAGCAGTCAGGAGCAATGATTTTGAAAATTACTACATAAATTAGGAGAAACTAGACAGCATTATTCTGAGTGAACTAACTTAGTCTCAAAAAGACAAATACTGCATAAAACCATTATTATAAAAATAGAAGGATAACTAGTCAAATGGATATGGAGATCCAGAGGGGGATGGGGTGGGAGCAGAGGGGTGAGGATGGAGGGTGGAAATCACAAGGTCGCACAATTTGGTGAGAGAAGGGGTGGTGGTAAAGGAATTGAGAAAGATCTGGTGGGGACCTGAAAAGATGGGGTAATAAGGAACACATTTCAATGTGGATTATTTTTATAAAACACAATGTACGAGAATACTTGTATTAAACAAAATGTAAATTAAGGAAAGTGTGAAACACAATGTACACAAATTTTGTACACAAACCAATATACAATTTTTTAAAAAACCAAACTATGACATGAAAAGACATACACAAACCTGTTTTCTTCACAGCAGGGAAAGAATAAAGCAATTTAAGTGTTCAGCAATGGATAAATGGATAAACAAACTCTGGTTCACACAGACAGTGGGATATTGCACAATGATAAGGAATAAACAAATTGTGGTTCTTACAGAGAGTGGATAAAGAAGAATGATGAATCTGCAAAGCATTTCATAACATAGATGAACCTGGAGGTGTTATATGGAGTGGAATGAGTATACACATTGAAAACACTGTTCTTTGATAGTTCCCAGTGAAAGGAGAAGAGAGATAAGCACTGATTAGATAGCAGATAAGATTTAGTTGTGGTGAAGGGAAGGACAACACGGGACATGTGCTGGCTAGCACAGTGGGACCAAGGGAAAGGAAGACAGAGAAAGGGACACAAAAACAAAGGACAATACAGTAGACACTGTGACAGACACGGTTCCTGAAGCTGCAGCAGTCACTACCAACAGTGTGTGAGGGGGAGTTCTGGTGGCCTAGTGGTGAGAAACTTCACTGCAGTACTGAGGGCATGTGGTCCAATCCACCAGCTGCTCTGAGGGGAAGAAGAATGGGAAATCTTCTGTGTGATTTACTGCCTCTGAACCTGCTGGAGTCTGCTATGAGTCAATTCCTACTTGAGGGAATGTAACAATAATAACAACAACAGTATGTATGAGTAGACAACAAGGTACGTGTGTACGTGAACAGGGGAAGGACGAGGTAAGGGAGTACACCTGCACACACAGGAGGTGGATATTTCCATATGCGTCTTTGTAAGTGCTGCACATACACACATATGTGTTTGTGTATTCACACATATATAATCAAACATATGGGAGCACAATTATACAAACAACATAGACATTGAGTCTGAACCTGAAGGCTAAGGACCATAGCCCCGGGACACTGCTAGGTCAACTGGCAGGTCGCAGCTCACAAAGATAATGTTGTATATCCCACTCTGGTAAGTAAGCAGCATCTGAGTTCTTAAAAGCTTGGGATCCACCCTTGAAGAAATAACTATTGGTCTGTTTCTATCTGGAGCAAAGAAGGAGGGGGAAAAGTGAGAAGTGAAGGAAGCAATCAGTCCAAAGGGCTAACTGTCCACATGAACCACAATGAAGCAACTGTTCAAAGGCTAAGGGTCCACATGGACCACAACCGCCTCAGCCCTGAGCAGAGCTGGGTGGTGCCTGGCCCACTGCTGACCACTCTGACCAGCAGAGGCCTCAGAATTGGGTTGGGAAGGAAATAAGTAGAACAAAACAAAACCACCCTAAAAATTCCCAAGAAACAAACAAAAGACAAACTTACTAGTCAGAAAGAGACCAGAGAAGTCCCTGAGGAAATCTTCTAACTCAAAACTGAAGACACTTCCAGAGGCCGCCTTCCAGGCAGTAGTATACAAACAAGAGTATAAAGCAAACACCATGAGAATGGGCTCCTGAGAACTATACAACACTTGCCCCAAACCAAAGAGGAGAAGGCAGGGCAGGGAAATGAAAATGGAAACAGACACAGAAGGACCTAGGGAGACCAGGCTGGAGCCAACACACTTGCAGGGACAGCAACCAATGTCAGGGAACATTCGGACCAGGAGCTATGGGTGGAGAAGGCAAATATGTTAGGAAAACGTCCACCTAACGCATCAAATGTTAAATAAATCCTCCTGGGGTGTTTCGCCGTCTCCATTCACACACTTTGGCACAGCTCCTTACTGTATGTGGAGGTGGGAAGCGGGGACAGCTCTCAGAGTGCCCAACCAGGCAGGTCGTAAGTCAGGTCGTAAGCAGCTCTGCTGGCTTTTACACCAGCTCCATCCACCAACACCTGTTCTCTTGGAGGAAGCGGTTACTCACTCCTCAAAAAATGTCCCTGACTGCTTTCTGAGTGACTGTTACTTGTGCCGAGAACCCCCTGCAGCTCCTAAGCATTTCTGGGATTTGAGTGCCCTCCGAGATGAACAGGCATCCACTTACTATGGCGCTCTAGTTGGTGGCTTAGTGGCAAGGAAATGCCTTGCCAACCCAAAGGTATGCAGTTCGAATCCACCAGCTGCTCCATGGAAAAAAGATTGGCAATCTCCTGTATGATTTATAGTCTCTGAAAACCCACTTGAAGGTCAGTGATGGGTCGGTTCTGACCCAACGGCACGCAGCAGCAGCAGCTCGCTTACACTGACTATTGACATTCTTACGTACAGCACTGTCTCACATTTGCCCTGCAGAAATGGCTATGCACCATGATCTAATTTAAGCACGTAGAGAAACATCATCCTTTGTTTTGTCTGAGGTCTCTGGGAATGAGGGGGCCACAGGGTGCTCACAACAGCAGGAAAAAGTCAAGCTCTTACTCACCCAGCTTGGCGTGGCCAAAGCAGAAGACACAGCCGTCGGCCCCGTTGACAACAGAGTGGATCACCTCTGCCACGGTCCCCGCACACACCTCCGCCTGTTGGGCACAGAGGAGACATAGTGTGAGTGGATGGTTAACATTGTGAAGGGCCATCCTTCCCCTTCCTGGGTTTGATGACGGTCTCCGAGGGGCTCAGGACCCTTCAGTACCTTCTGCTCACTTCACATCACATGTCAACCGTGAATGCCCACGTCCTTGTGCTGAGTGGACCGAAGTGGGAAAGCAGGATCCCATGAACCTGAGTCCTGGCTCCCATCTGCCACTCCGGCTTTCTGGAAAAAGCACTGAAACACTTCATTTGTCCCTGGTGGGGCACTGGTGATTCAATGGAGCATTCCTGCATTCCAGGAGCTGGAAGTGCGATCCCAGGCAAGGCACAGCCACCACCAAGAGCACTTTCATGGTGACTGGCATGGAACGCACTTAGTGGAGCTTCCAGATGAAGACAGACCCAAAGGATCCACTTCTGAAACCAGCCAATGATAGGCCCACAGGACACAATGATGTATCCTGCCTGCAATCACTGGGAGGGCCCAGGTCCGGGCACTGTGAGTTAGGGGCCCACCTCAGCACTGTAGCTAACATCAGCCCTTGGCAAACTGGGCCCTTCTGGACGTGGTAATAAAATACAGCCATGACGGGGCCAGACGTGTAAAAGGGGGAAGGTGGTGTGTCATTGTGAAGAGCTAGTGAAGCTCTCAAAGTAGGGAGAGGTGCGTGCTCCTATGTCCCTAGACTTTCCTCCTTTCTCAGTCTACGGTCTCCTCTCACAGCCAGCCTGTTCCTTCTTTCTCCACGCATACACTCAACACAGGGAGCTCCGGTGGCTTAGTGGTAAAGAATGGCGCTACCAACACAAAGGTACATGGTTCCAATCCACCAGCTGCTCTGCTGGAGAAAGACAGGCAATCTCCTCTCCTGTAGTTTCCAGCCTCTGAAAACCCACAGGAGGGTCATGGGTTGTCTGACTCAATGGTGCACAACAACAACAGCACACTCATCCTGCATTGTTCATCACCACTACTCCACGTGTTACAGTGTGTGTTCTTGAGGTGGTGCTGTTGTTGTAGCCCATCTCTATTCTATCTCAGTACTTCCTTAGACATGCACCAAGGTCTGTAAACACTTATGTCCCCTGTCCACCACTCTTTACAATACAGACAGAGCCAGCTGCTGTCATGTCGGATGTGACTCACGGTGACCTCACGTGCCCTGGAACAAAATGCTGCTGGGTCCTGTGTCCACCTCAGGACGGGCGGCGTGTTCAAGTCTTCTGTGGCTGTATCTCTGATGCCTGCTCTTCTGCTGATCCACAGACCTCTGCTTCAGCCAAACATGGGGGCCTCCTCCAGGGGCTGGAGAAGTGGCCAAGGGAAAAGGCACATTTCCTTGTGAAATGTCCAAAGCCAGTGAGTCAAACAACCTTCTGTGATTCCTAGACTTTCCCTGGCTGGTTTTCAGGGCTTGTCCTGGCTGCTGTTGGTCTCGGAGCTCTGATGCGCTCTGTGGAAACCCTGCTGGTACCTGAGAGACTAGCGGTGTAGCTTCTAGCACCTCAGCAACACGCAGTCCTCAGTGTACAACAGTGACAGCTGAGGGGCGGCCCCATCCTAGTGGGGATGCAAACAACAGGTGCTCAGTGAAGTGTGCGGGTGAATGTGGAGCTGTGAGGGAGCCTTCTCTCTCTGTGTCTAGTATCTCAGACTTGCACAGGAGCCAAAACCCAAACCAACTCTTGCTGCTGAGTCAATTCCAATGCACAGTGACCTGGGTGGATAGAATGGATCTGCCCTGTGAGGCTTCCAAGGCTGCTGTCTTCACAGAAGCAGGCTGCTACATCCTCCTCCTGTGGCTCAAATGGTTAGCCTTCAAGTGCATTCATCATGCCTCACTGGCCCCACACACAGCAACAGGAGAACAGAGTCAACGTGTGGTACCCTGTCGCCTTCATCTCAGCCCCTGTACTGTGTAGTCAGACCTCAATGATATGTTCAGGCTGTGCAAACAGCACTGCACACAGTAATCAGAGCAATGTGCCTCCCTGCGGGAGTCTCCAGTCCAGCAGACAGGGCAATGAATGTGGTTATTCAGCTCCAGGCTCCGGCAGTACAATGAACTAAGTATTCAGAAATCAATTTTGTCTCCCAAACCCAAATTGAAAAACCACATGGCAAACCACTGTCAATTGTTCTGGGAATTCTGCTGGGAGAAGGGATGCCAGGACAGGGCTGCCTGCCGAGGATCCCTGGGTCTTCAGGCCCAGGACCAGAAGAGAGAGGCTATAGCTGCCCAATATCGGTGGAATTTGCTCCTGGGACTTCTCCGGAGTTGAGAAGGTGCTGCAGAATGAGCTCAGCCTCCCTGGAACAGAAAGTGGGGCTGGGAGGCTGAGAGCCTTGAGCCATAGGAAAACGAAAGTGTACTAGATTTGGGATTTGCTGTGGAGGATGGCTACGTGGGGACAAATGGCCTTCATGAGTCACCTTGTCCAGAGGCCTGTGGAAGGGGCAGACCAGAAGGGCACCCACTCCTTTGCACAGGGTGGAGCTAACCTCACCTGGCAGAGGTGTAACACTAGAAATTTCTAAAAAATAAAATATTCTGAAATATATGAAACTATCATTAGATGGATACTGAATATATATTAAGCACCAGGACCACTTGAAAAATTATAAAAATGCTTTCTCTTTTTGTGACTAAATCTAAAGCTCATTAACAATCTCTGCTCAATTTATAGTTTCCTTTGGAATTCTTACAATTGTGGACATTCTAATGGCATTGATTCAATTACCTGTAGGCCAATGCCAGGTTTGAGTCCTTGCGTCCCCTGGGTAGTATAACACACAAAACATAATGTAAGAGAAAAACCTCTGAACTTATTCATAAGTGTTTTATCTTCTCTGGGGGAAGGCCACACTATCGGCATTACTGAAGCTGTATGTCTATGGTGTAACAACAGAAGTAATTACTTCCTATACTTAGATACAACCTGCACCTAGACACCACATGGAGGAATTGAACAGAGCCTGCAATGACAATGATGTGCTCCACTGTCCTAAGGTTGTACCCTAGGTTGTAGGTTACCACACTAGGCTTTGGGAGGAACTAGAAATTTCTCAGAAAGGTGAGTGTGGGGCATTCTGTGTTATCTGCCATAATTAAATCCATTCACACTTCCTTATTTCTATTCTCTATCAAGCTTTCAACATGAGAATGAGGTGAGTGGAAATCCCATGGCTGGATCAGTCTGGGATCTTGCTCTTCTGAGTAGGAACTGTGGATCTAGGTCACACGAAATTCTTGACATCTTCCATCCTTTCTCTACTTACCACGATGCCACTCATTGGTCCAGTTGTGAGGGGTTTTGTTTTCTTTATGCTGAGGTGTAACTGAAGGCTGTAGCTTGGAGCATCATCAATAAACACTTCAAGTCTTCTTGACTTTCAGCAAGCAACCGTATTGCATCTGCACATCTCAAACTATGTTTCTGTTGCTGTTTTCCCAAAGGGAAAAATGCAAACACAGTCCCTCCACTACCACAAATTAGGCAATCGAGCTTTTAATTTTTGGGGAAATCACAGGGGTCAGCACATCTGGAGTGCAGTGGATAAGCCTCGCCCTGGGAAAACCACCTTCATGATCATAGTACCTCCCCCGCCAGGCAGTCTTCCTCCAACACTGATATTGTGTTCTTCTTCATATATCAAAGCTCAGACTATTGCTCAATATAGACTGAACTGGCTACAGTAAAGAGCTCAGCCACATAGCTTTCCTGATTTTAACCCATGTGACATCCCCTTGTCCCGTTGGGATGAATTCGAGAGAGCACAATTAGCTGTATCTGAATTCCCATTCATCTCAATGTCACCCATGATTTGGGAGATCGACATGGTAGAAGGCTTTGGCATAGCCATTGCAATAGACTGGCCAAGGCCCATTTGACATCACCAGCTATAACTCTATTTCTGTGGCTCTTCTGATTCAGGCTTGAATTTCTGACAGTTTCTAGTCAATGTTCTATTTAACAGTCTACAAATCATCTTTTGCAAAATTTTGCTTGTGTGTGATATTAACCATATTGTTTGAGAATTTACACATTCTGATAGAGAGGCAATCAATTGTATTACCATGGCCAGAAATCTTGTGCCTGGCACTTCTATGTGGCTCACAGCTGTTGATTATTGGGGAACTCTGATCATGTTGTCTGCAGGGAGCTGTTTCGCTAACTCAACTGAGGTGCTTTCCTGCTGGTCTGAACTGACCAGTGGTTCCTTGGCAGAAATATGGAAAACTGCTCTGGTGATTCACAGCCTCTGAAAACCCACTGGAGGGTTGGCCATGAGTTGCTTCTGGCTTGATAGCAACATGGTTGGTGTTGTGTGTGTGTGTGTGTGTGTGTGTGTGTGTGTGTGTATGTGTGTGTGTGTTTTAAGCTGGTTAACAAAATGACCACTTATGTCTGTTTGTACAGCTTTCTTTATGTGACTTTTGCAGCTTATCCCATCCAAGAGATAGATTATCATTTCTATCAGAATCAGAGCCTGTGATTTGGCCAGTAATACGCTGAATCAATGTTCTGAGGCAAAGGCTCAACCGGGCAGGTATGCTTGCCTTCTTGCCATTCTCCGCAGGTATGCTTGCCTTCTTGCCATTCTCCTCAGAGCAAGCAAAGCTAGTCTGCTGGATAACGAAACAACGTGGGAGACCTGGCAGTTGTTCTGGCCAAACTAAAGGGGGCTAATTGCCAAGCCCATGATAGCACCCAGCAGAGGGCAGCAGAGCTACCCCCGCCCACGATCCATCATGCATGTGAGCTGGGGCACTGTCAGCTGACCCACGCTTCACAGGCAGTACTAAACGCGGACTGCTTTAAAGCACTGAGTTTTGGGGTGCAGTGATGGCTATCCTCACCTCTCTTCTACCCCCGAACTGTGTCGATGATCCAGGCCGCATCACTGCATGTCAGCTTCCATTTGCCTGCTTAGCATTCCATCTCCTCACTAAGACGAGAGACCTAAACCCCACCTCGTGAACTTATCTAATGGCCTCTTGTGGCCTCGTGGTAAGAAACTGTACTGCAATCTTGAAGGCAAGCAGTTCAAATCCACCAGCTGCTCCACAAGAGAAGCAACAGGCAATAGGGAATCTTCTCCCATGAGATTATCTGTCTCTGAAAGCCCGCTAGAGGGTCAGCTATGAGTTGTTACCCTGACTAACGCTGAGCCAGCTCCTTCAAAGTCACCTTCCCATCTCATTTGCCCATCCTCAGAAACCTAGGCTCAAGTGAGGTCCGTTCATGGAGGGGCCTTAGCACACTTGTTCCCACATCTGATGCTTCTGTCTGCTGTGTTCCTGCTGCAGTGTAACGTCATCTGTTTGCAACTGCAGCACACTGACGGGGCTTGGATGGCACTGCTAAATCAAAAGGGCTAAACTATTTCAACGAGGCTCAAGCTGGTTCCTAAGCGTTGATGTGCTGCCGAGATACCAGTTCATCCCAGGGACCTAGCCAGCTCACAGCCCCACCAGCTCACAGGTACTAAAGAATGGGTGAATTAGCTTAACGTCATCAAAACTACCGCGGCCTGAGGGAGCGTGTGTACCCACCTGAGAAGCATCTTGGGGAAACACTGCATCGAAGGCAAACATCTTCGGAGGGACTTGGCTGCTTCTCTTCTGGAAGGCATTTTGTCCCCCACAGGTGACAGGGTCGTACAGGGTGATCTGCTTCTTTCGAGGGTCCACTTTCAAGAAGGAGCTAGACTCTGAGGTATCGCGAGCCAACGTGGAACAGATGCGGAGCATGACTTTCACCTGTTAAAGGACAAAGATGGGAAAGCATGTGGGTTAGGAGAGCTGGGAAGTTTGGGATGGAGTGAGCAAACTAGGGAGGCAAACTCACATAGCAGAGCTAAGCTTTCACATAGACACTCCTGGTCAAACACAGCCTGCTCCTTGGTGAGCAACAGGAAGCCTGCTATGTTTATAGTTGTTGTTATGTGCCATCAAGTTGTGTGCGACTCATAGCGACCCTATATACAACAGCTCTGAATCCTGCTCTATCCTGAGTCAACCTTATTGTCTCTGACACATCTACCCTCATTATCTCTGAATCAATCCATCTCATCCAGGGTCTTCCTCTCTTACACACTGTCCCTCTCCAAGGACTGGTCCCTCCTTGCAATATGCCCAAAGTATGTCAGACAAAGCCTCAGAATCCTTGCCCCCAAGGAGCAGCCTTATTTCACCCTTTTCAGGACAAACCTGTTTGTTTTCCTAGCAGTCCACAAAGAGTCAACACTCTTCTCCAGCATCACAGCTCAAAGACATATATTCTTCTATCATCCCCAGTCATTGTCCAGCTCTCTGATGTGTAGCAAGTAATTGTTAAGACTATGGCCTGCATGCATCAGGTGCACCTTAAGTCTCCAGACTGACATCTTTGCTCTTCAGTACTCTGGAGAGGTCTCTGATAGCAGACTTTCCCAATGTAATTCATCATTTTATTTCCTTGCTGGTACCAAGAGTGCTGGTTTTAGAGCCAAGCAAACTAAAGCCGTTAACAATCTCAATCCTTTCACTGTCTATCATGATGCTGTCAATCAGCCCAGTGGTGAGAATCTTTGTTTTCTTGATGCTGAGTTTCAATCCATATTGAAGGATGCAGTTTTTGGCCTTCTGTAGCAAGTACTTCAGGTCCTCCTCAGTTTCAGCAAGCAGGGCTGTGTCATCTGCATAACACAGGCTGTTGATGAGTCTTCCTCCAATCCTGATGCCACATTCCTCCTCATAGAGCCTGGCCTATTTTCATATCTCTCTCACTTTTGTTCAGAGATGGCACACCCCATTATTTATCTTTCTATTAAAGTAAATGGGATATTAACTGTGCCCTGGTGGCCCAATTATGGAGATGAAAAGACAAGTGGATCGCCAAGCAACAGAGGCTGGTGCACCGGCCCTGGAGCACACAGATCAATAAACTGCGCACATGAAAGTTATCTCCCTCATTTACTCCTTGCCCACACTCATCCTGGAGGCAAACCCACTGTTAGGAGAGTCGTCATTAGAGTCCCGTGAAACGGCCTCCTGTTAGTAGTGGTCAGCATTTGAAACGTGTCCCAACAGACAACTGTGATAAGGATTTACTTGCAACAAGTTATTTGGGATGCCATGACATAACAGTAGTGTCATTTCAGAGTCAGAAGTGCTTCTCTGTGGAAGATGGGAGCGGTGCCCCTTGAACGTGCCTTCAGAGGGATTTAACCTGAGCTCTGCCAAAGCGGACAGCCCACTCCTCAAATGAGCTTCAGAAATGGGCTGCGTACTGCAGAGTCCTACTTGCAGTTTTCTGTGTCTGCTGAGTTTGCTCTGATGTACAGAGAACGGAACCTTGACTGATTTGCATCCTCTCGCCGTGCTCGGCTGTAATTCGTGCATCACTCCATCAAACTGACACTTTTTCACGAACCCTCCACTTCTCCAAGCATGATGTCCTTCTCCAGCGAATGGCTCTTCCTCACAACATGCGCAAAGTATGAGGCCAAGTCTCACCACCCTTATGAACACTTTGTTCACATTTCTTCCAAGACAAATTTGTTTGTTCTTCTGGTGACAACCAAAATGTTTAATGTATATTCATTATTATGTTTTGCCAATGCTACAATTCAAAACAATAAATTTTTTGGTCTTCTTACTCATTGTGCAACTTTCACATGCTTATTAAGCAACTGAAAACACTATGGCTTGGATTGGATGACCCTTAGACTTTTAAGTGACATCCTTGTCCTCTAGTACTTAAAGAGGACCCTGGCCTAGAAATGCATGATGCGATATTCCATTTGATTTCTTGACTGCTGCTTTCACAAGGACTGGCTGTGGATCCAGGTAAAATAAAATCCTGGGCTGCTTCAGTCTTCTTATAGTTATCATGGTCATTATCGGTCTAGTTTTGAGGGCATTTTTTTTAAGCTGAGGTATAATCCATACCAAAGGCTACAGTCTTTGAACTTCATTCATAAATGCTTCAAGTCTTCATTTTCAGCAAGCAGGGTTCTATCAGCTGTGTAACACAGGTAAGTTAATGCCACATTTTTCTTCATAAATTCCAGCTTCCCAGATTAGTTGCTTAACATAGATTGAATGAGTATGAAGGCCTAAGGCAAGTGGAAATTAAAGTAAAGCCACATACACAGGTCTGGAGGTTAATGTCTTTCTTATACAGCATCTGCTCTTTGTTACTGTTTGCTAGGTCAGCTAAGCACATGTCATGTGTCAACATGCCAGTATAGCATCTACTATAGGCTAGGAATTGGGGTACAAAGACACACAATACATAGATTAGACATCAAACTAGCTTCAATGCTAATGCACTGGCCGTTGTAGCTTGGCGAGCCAGACTGCCTTTGTGTCTCCATAACTGGGACCCGAGAGCATAGTTTAAAATTAAGAAAGTTTGCATCTGGGTTGCATCTTTTTCCATATCTATTCAAACTTGCTGGCTGAAAATGATGAGGAGGACCTGAAGTGCTTGCTGCAGAAAGTCAAGGACTGTGTAGTTTTCCATATGGATTGAAGCTTTACATCAAGAAGACAAAGATTCCAACCATTGGGCCAACAGCACCATGATAGATGAGATTAAGGTTGCTAACAATTTTAGCTTGCTTGGCTCCACAATCAACACTAGCAGTCAGGAAATCAAAAGACAAATTGCACTGGGAAAATCTGCTGTCAGGGACCTCTCCAGAGTACAGAGAAGCAACAATGCCAGTCTAGAGACTAAGGTGTACCTGATCCAGGCCTTGGTCTTCACAATTACTTGTTATGTATCAGAGAGCTTGACAATGACTAAAGGTGACAGAAGAAGAATCAATGCCTTTTAGTTGTAGTCCTGGAGGAGTCCTGAACATATCATGGGTTACCAAGAAAACAAACAGGTCTATCTTGGAGAAGGTAAAACCAAGTTTCTCATTGGAAACTAGGACTTTTGAAGCGCTGTTTCACTGACTTTGGATACATGAGCAGGAGAGACTGGTCCCTGGAGAAGGACATCATGCTTGGAAGGGTAGAGGAAAAGTGCAGGAGAGGAAGATCTCAAATGATATGGATTGATACAGTAACTGGGGCAATAAGAGTAGGTGTGTTGGAGTGAGTGAGACAGGTTCAGGGCAGGGCAAGCTTCAGTGCTGTTGTATACAGGTTCGCTATGAGTTTCAGGTGACTCAATGGCACATAACAACAACAACAACAACAACAACATTCAATCCATATGCTGAGCAAATTGTTCAAGAAGCTGAACTTTATGAAGGACTTTTTATCAGGACTGAAGGAAGACTTGTCAATAACCTGTTTATGCAGATGATACAAACTTGCTTGCTGAAAGTGAGGGAGTTGCAACACTTTCTGGAGAAGGTCAAATACTGAATGAAGCCTTCAATATGCATTGTCTCTCAATGTCAAGAAAACAAAAATACTCACTCCTGGACAAATAGGCAACATCATGATAGAAGGAGAAAACGTTGAAACTGTCAATGACTTCACCTTAATTTGGATCCACAATTAGTACACTTGGTATTAATACACTTGGTATTAGTCAGGAGATCAGGAGATATACTACACTGGGAAAGCCTTCAGTCAGGGACCTCTCCAAACAAGCAATGATGTTAGTTTGAGGACTAAGGTGCAAGTGATTTGGACCATGGTCTTTCAATCACACTTGCTATGCATCAGAGAGCTAGACAATAAATAAGGATGTCAGAAGGAAACTGTATTTCTTTGAAATGTGGTGCTGAAGGAGAGTACTGAAAATCCCATGGACTGCCAAAAGAACAAACATATGCCTTGGAGAAGGTGAAGCCAGATTGCTCTTTGGAAGTAAGCATGGCAAAGCTGCTTCTCGTACACATTGGACATACACATTTGGACATATTGTTAGGAGAGGCTATTCCTTGGAGAGGACCTCATGCTTGGAAAGGTGGAGGGATAGTGAAAGAGAGATGGACTGCAGCCAATGGGCTCAAGTGTGTCAGAGATGGTGGGGATGATGCAGGATAGTACAGAGTTGGGATCTGTTGTTCATAAGGTCATCAGGAGTTGTACTCGACTCAGCAGCACCTAATAACAACAAGAAGCCATCCAACAGACACAGGAATACATTGTGGTAAATTTACATGTATACTTGTATACTAGAATTTTAAAATATTCTCCTTTCTTGCTTTCTTCTCTAGTCAGGAATTACAAGGGTAGGAGGAAGTCAAAGGATCCTGTTCACACATCCATACAACCCAGCATTCTGCCTTACACACACTTACATGGCACACACCTAGCCAGGCATTTGTTAAAACAAAAATGGATTTATGAGAACAGAAAGAGTCTGACATTAAACACATATTGTCTTAACATCTAAAGATAACACAGAAACTCAGAACTGAGGGGTTTTTCAGAAGACAAACAAGACTGGATGAAACTGGATTTCACATACATACAATAAGGAATTACCTGGTGGGGGACCAACCTATAAAATAGTGGTTCAAAGAGTAGAGTGGGCCCTGCACCAGAGGTCTCAGTGACAGACACATGTACCAACATCCCATAATGAGCCTTGGCATCCCAGGCTCCCTCGCACCACATCCCATAAAAGTGCACACACAGAAAAGGAAGCAAAGTTGCAGTCATCTGACTGATGCTGTGTAAACACCACACCTTCCTTTAATCCCTGGAAAACAACCCTCCCTGTAAGCAACAGCCCCAGGAGAGCTCTGAGCATATGTTGCACGGAGAGGCATGCTGGCCTTCCTCCCACGTCCTGTGTCTTCTCC